TAAGAAATTATTCACAGTAACAAAATGCAAAACAGAATATAAAGTAATGGTGAAAAACTCGCGAAATTAAAATAGCTTTATTGATAAAAGACGAAAACAACGTTTCGGTCAACATCCCTTCATCAGGTTTCCTGCGAGAGTGAAACTATTAATAAAACTTTTCTTTTTATTTTATTCTTTATATTCTAGTTTGCATTTTGTTACTGTTCATTACAGTCATGCCAAAAAATAAACAGCCTCTCCTATTTAGAATGTTTCTTTTTTCAGTTTATTTGTATAGCTTGATAATTAATGAATAGTTTTTAAATAACAGTAATCTAATCTATTTAAACATTCATAGGCATGGCTTAAGAATATAAAAACAAATTTATGAATCAGCTCTGTATTAATATAGAGATAAATGAATGTGTAACAAGGATGTCCTCCCAGTAGTTGCTTTTTTTAGTTAAACGTCACTGACATTGAACTTAAAAATCGCGTTTAACCCAATGATATTCCGGCCTAATTATGTTGGGTAGACCCTAGTTTTATTATGTTAGTCGTCGCAATACAAAATGTTTCTGTAAACTGTAAATTTTCCACTTTGCAAGCAAAGATGTAGTGATATATTTCTGCAAGCCTGTATACTACTATTAAGTGTATAAAAATAGACTAGCAAAGAAGAATTTTGTATATATATAATAAGAATAAATTGTACAAAAACTATATTATTTTCAGTTCAAAAAAATCAGAAAATCACCTCACATCTAGCAGATTTAGTGATTGACAAAAATAAAGTTTCGCTGTCTATAGTTCCACCGTTTTCAGAATTAATTCACAGTTTGCTTTCAATATGAAAAGTCTTCAAGGTTACCACAGAGCCACTGGGCAGGATTTTATTTCACAGACAAACTACAAGGTTGTCAGTTTGAAAAAAATCATGCTTCATATTTAGATTATAATTTTGTTTTTTTGTTTTTGTAAATACAAAGCTACACAAAGGACTATCTGCCTTATGCTCACTGTGAGTATCGAACCCCAATTTTGGGGCTTATAAGTCTGAAGTTTCTGCTGAACGCTCTAAATTAAAACTCATGTTTTTTTGGTGGCAGAAACGATTTTAATAATTTTTTTTTCTGGATACCTCATTATGCCCAAATTGGTATACGACGTGAACTATTCCCAAATGTTGTTTAACTTTTTTTTTTTAAGATGATTGACCCTGGGAAACTGTTTTATTAATATATCAGTGGCAAATATTTTATACTTAAAATATTTGCCACCGATATCATTTGATTATCATTTCTTTTTAAATTATAATAATTTTTCTAGACAGCTTACTTTCTGAGAATATTACAATATCTGTTGAAATTGAGATACGCGACCTTTTTTTTTTCTGACATTTAATTCTGTCATTTTTTCTAAATTTTACTTCATAAAAATTTTTCTTCCAAGTCAATTCTTAATTGGAGTCGCTTTTGATCCACATCTCTTCCTTTATTGTAGCTTAAACATACCATAAACAGATGACAAAGGCCATTCAATGTGGTTACACCAATACTACAGATGTGAAAATCTGGCTTTTCTTAGAAGTAGGAATTTAAAGTAGGATTTTGCAACACTCTTGACTTTAACAAAGAGTGTCTCATTGAAAAGTACAAGTATCTTTTTCTAAGTAGATCTATAATTATTTTCTTCGCAATTATCTTTACATAAAAATATTGCATATCAATGAAAGCTAACCGACCTGGAAATCACGCACTGGCTATAAACCCAAACATGTGTACACGTATATACGCGAATGTGTGCAGTTAACTGTCATAGTACTTAGAATAAATAATGCTCAATTCCTGACTATGAAATCTTTCTCAATGAAAATGCCATAACGTTGGTATTCACATATAAAAATAAATTTTTACTGTTTATATGTAAATATATTTCACTGTCGACAGTTAACATCTGATGAGGTGTTTTGAATATTGGCCATAATCTAGAAAAACAAAACAAAAACAAATACCACATCCAATAATCAATACTCTACGACCATGATGTATCTCTTATACGACAAGACAGCAGACTTGAAGACTAATATAACCCCAGTTCTCTAACCTAGTATTTACCTGGCCACTTTTAAGGTCTTTTTCGTTTTTTTGTTGTTGTTTTTTTACTCTTTGCAGTTAGCTTTATGTCAACTTATCGCATACTGAAAATTTAAAGATAAATTATTAATGGGCATTTAATTAATCTCCCCCTTTGATTCGTACATACTTATCTCATGTCTAATGATACTTTATAAACACGTTAAGCTTTTATTGAAGTTTTATAGAATATCTAAAGAAAGTAAGAGGTTGTAACGCGTTACATTCCTATACTTCCTTTTCTTAAATAAGTAGCAGGTTAAAGAAAAGTTACATTTAGAATTATGAAATCAAGATCAATTAGAAATTATTTTTAGCCTATTGTTTAATTCAATTTACATGCAAAATTATGTTTGATTCAACCTAACTTTCCCTATTAAAGAACAAATTGGCAATAGTTGCCCTAAATTATGTTTGATTCAACCTAACTTTCCCTATTAAAGACAAATTGGCAATAGTTGCCCTAAATTATGTTTGATTCAACCTAACTTTCCCTATTAAAGAACAAACTGGCAATAGTTGCCCTAAATTATTTTAGATTGAAATGATTAAAGCTAGTGAAGGTGCTCCGGGCCTTAAGAGACCACCAAAACACTGGAAGATGGCATTATTTCGCAAGAGGGCGTTCGACAATCAAGAAGGTATATTCTCTTCACTACTCTGTGCTATTGTTGTTGTTGGTTTATTAGTGCAAAACTACACAATGGGTTCCGCAGGGAATCGATCCCTGGATTTTAGCGATGTGAATCTGTAACTTACTGCTGACTCAAACGGATGCTACTCTGAGCATCTCCGAATACCTTATGTGCCCATTCTGCTGGTGCTTCTCCCAAATACGTATTGTACAACAGGAGAATCTTTCATTAAAGAAGAAAATCCGTAAAATATAAAATTTCATATCCTTTCGTCATTGATAGGATTATTTTTCATAACTAGTCATCACCAAGCAAAATGCCCTTAACATTATTATTTACGACAACAAAAGTTTATACAAAAACGTTGATAAAAAATAACTCAAAATGTACGTAATTACAATCCAAAGATGACATATCAAAAACTCAAAGAGACAGGCTTTAATAAAATACTGAAAAAAGGTTTATCTTTTCACATAACTTTGATAAGAGTTTTATTACCCCTCTTTCTCTGTGATAAATACGTTTGACGAGATGTTCAATAGATATAAACAATTTATCTTTTATAACAGATGTCCGTTTAATTGGAAAAGAAAATAATTCATTTGAAATACCATTGCGTAATTTTCTTTAACAATTGAACACTTTGACCACCGCTTCATTTCGATCTGAAGGTACTTTTGACCAATCTCTGAAGAATGATCCTTTTTAACATTAACAAGAATGGTAGATAACACCGGATGTCACAGATTATATTGTATCTCCTAACTTTTCGACTTCTTACTGACTGCTCTATGATATATTGATAATGATCATAATTCAAACTATCCAGAATTCTATTAACAACTTTAACAAAATAAGTGAACAGTTTAAAGGTAAAGTTTTTTTGTGGGGCCTTTTTTTTTATTAGTGCCTCTTACTAATGGCCCAGCGTGGCCAGGTGGTTAGGGCACTCGACTCGCAACCTGAGGGTCCCAGGTTCGAATCCGTGTCCCACCAAACATGCTCGCCCTTTCAGCCGTGGAGGCGTTTATGTGATGGTCAATCCCACTATTCGTTGGTAAAAGAGTAGCCCAAGAGTTGGCGGTAGGTGGTGATGACTATCTGCCTTCCCACTGCTAAATTAGGGACAGATAGCACAGATAGCCCTCGTGTAGCTTTGTGCAAAATTAAAAAAATAACAAACAAACAAATAAGCCTCTTACTACACGATTTAGAGTCTTGAAATAACTTGAAGAGGTCAGTTTTACCTTTTCAATTGCCTTTACATAAAATAAGATTTGTGAATTACAACCTTCTTGTGGTTAACGATTCTGCTGATAATAATGAAAACATTCATTGTTTTCACGCTAAGCGATGATTGTTAACTTATAAACATTACCTTTTCCAAAGTTTCGAAGTGGGAAGAATGGTGAAATGGTTTATTTCGACATGCACGCAAGTAGTGAAAAAAAAACATTATTTACAGGGGTAGATTTACAATTTTGTATTTCTATTATTTCGACAAAATTGTTTTGAAATATTTTCAGCGTAACGATCAGGAATTTTCAATATAATATACCAAAAACTGAAATTAGTTAAAATACACTCCGATGAAGATTTTGTGTTATATTTTCAAAATGTTAATTTTTCTTTTTTAAAGTCAGCAAACAAATTCTTGTGGTGCTACAAATATTACAAAATATGTAAAAAAGTTCTCCATTTCTTGTATTATTTTACTGATACGAGAACAAAATAATTTTTTTTATAAATTATACCAATTCTGCTTTCTCTCGTTTTCCAGAAATTAACGTTTTTACACTACATCATAAGTTCCGGTGTTTTATTGGACTTAAGCTATTTTACTTTGTGCTTTAATAAGCTCTGAACATTTTGACGTAATGACCAGCTGGTATAGTTTCAAGTTTGGTTTCCAGCAATATAGGTAACGTATTCAATGAAATCACCGTATTTACTGGACTTTTCACCGACAGCCCAACAGCTCGTGATGTATTTTAGAAGCTCAGTGCTAGAGTTCATCTCTAACGTGTGAGGTTTTTATGATTTATCATGCACAACAACTATTTATCAAGTAATACTATATTGTTCTTCAACGGTTATTGAGCTTTACTCGAGTTATGAGAAACGTTAGTTTTCCGCTAATTTTTTAGATATTAATTTTCAAAAACCCTAAAGCATGAAAGGTAACACCGATAAAATTTAATGTAAAATATAATCATATTTTAAATATTTTTCACTGTATCAAACTTACCTTGAAACTGTAGCAAAATAAGAACCCCTTGAACAGCAAGAAGTAGCGAAAGCACGGCCATGACTCTTGACTTCACGGGCAGACCTCTCGCATATAAGGACTTTACTAATATTATATTTACAGGCCAGAGAATACTGCGTAAAATTCTACTAATTCTAGCTCTGAGCCTTAAGCATTCTTAAGAATACAAAAGGGTCAAAAACAGGTACTTAAATTAAGATCACACTTGTTACAAGTCGTCCCTCCATCAAGTAATTCGTCATTTTTGAAAATCTTAGACTTTTTATGCGTTAAAATTTACAGTTCTTCTATTCAAAATTACGAGTAGTTGTAAAGAGGAATAGGTTTTAAACAACTAAAAAGAAACAGGTCGACCTAAAAATTCTACTTAACCCTGGTAGCACCTGAACATGGACTGTAGAGTAGTATCGCTTATCGACTGTCTAGAGAACACAGGCTGCACGTGCGCCACTAAACAGAGTGAGCCCAAAGTGTGGCTACCGGACAGCAAACTCCTGCTCTTTATTTAGGAGAACACCTGCGCTTGTATATTGATCAGCCCATTTGTTTCTCTGTGGCGCCCTCATACCTCTAACTTTACTAAAACCTAAAGCTGATGTTGTTTTTTTAGTAATTATTTGCGCTTTCGTACAGATGAATAGTATTATTAGTTTACGTAGAATCAACAAAGTTAGTATTTTTACAGAAGTATCAATCAGTTGTATAAAGGTTTTTTTTCTCGTTAACTAACTTGCGTCATTTTAAAAAGTAGTCTGTATTTAACATAACAGACGTAAACGTTGTGAAATAAAAGAAGAACAGAAAATATGAACGATTATTATTAGAAAAATCAAATGGAATATACGTCGATTATTTACGTCATACAGACGCAATGCTAAAATGTTTGATTACGAAACAGAATTATTATTTGAGACAAAAAACAAGAATAAAAAATCCAACAAACATGATCATTTTATTTCAACTGCTCGAGTAACTTGAGCTAAATAACAAACTCCCTCAAACCATCATGCACTAAGCTAAGTCGGCAGGATCAGACGGTCGGATGGAGTTAATTAAAGTCTCTAGTAGTAAAGAAAGAAGGGTTGTGTAATTCCAATTAATACAATCCATTGAAAAACGTGATTATCTCAGAGGACTTATACCCCCCCCCATCCCGAATGTTGTTGACAAGACAGATGCCGTTGGCGAGTCAGATGACAGTAACAACTGACAATATTTGTCAACCTAAGAAGCTGCTATCTTCTCATTTCTCTCCACGTTGCGGTAATTAGGAGACCCGACTCCAGGTTAACGAAACCGAACAGTCACGTTTGTCTTAGGCAAGCAGCCTGTGGTTAGTTAGACGTAAACAATCGGTTAAGGAGCCAGTCGACCTAAGCACGAAGAAATCGGTGTCTGTAGACCATAGAGCAGACTCTTTGTGGATCGTTGAGTTGTTATTGGCTCATCCCCGTCGGCTGGGGAAAAGAGTGCATCAATGGTTTGTGACGCAAGTAATAATAAAAAAAATATTTGGATAGTTATAAATTAGCTAGCCTATAGAAAACAACAGACAGTCCGAGAGATAGATAGATTATTTGTACTTGTACCAAAGACATTTTAAAGCACGGTGAAATTAATCTAAAGTACAAAAGATTAAGCATAGAACTCTACGTATCATTATCTTATTACGGATAAAAAGAACTTACCTCTTATATTAAATTATGATTGGAACAAAATTGAATGTTTTTAGATACTTACAAAATATGATCACTGTCTTATCGAAGTTCCTTACATTTCATGGTAAAAAAGGAACACAGTTGCTTATTATACGAAATAAATCATATTATATCAAAAATTACCATTATAATTACCATTAATAGAAATAAGATAAACTCTTAACTAAGAATTGTAACACGGATAATGCTTTTATAAATTACTTGTTTATTTATACCATGAATAATCGCACAAATATTTTTGTTTTTTCAGTTTAGCAAATTAAAATCCTTAACAAGCAACCACGTTCGGTAGAAATTTGTTTTGTAGACAAGATGTATAAATGTGATTAAAGAAATTAGCTTTCATGTGCGTGGTTGGCAGATAAAGTCAAATTTCTTTGTTCAAACTGAGTTAAAGCAAACGATTTGTGTGAGAAGGCGAAACACACTACACAGAAATACTTCATTATAAGGTCTACTGTGTTCCATGTAGTCCACCATGGTATGATGATCTTAAAACTGGTCTTTGATCATTGATCTTATTACCAATGGAAGATGATGTTCAAACAGAAAATAATAATGATGTTTCTGGTTTTGATTTTCTAGCCGTATATAGCAGATGCTAAGTTCTAATATCCCTAATAATGTGATCCGTAGTTAAGTAACCTTGTTTTTGTTTTTAAGCACAAAATTAAACAAAGGGCTATCTGTGCTGAGTCCACCACGAGTATCGAAACCTGGCTTTTAGCGTTATATGCCTACAAACTTACCGCTGACCTCCAGTGGCTCAGCAGTACGTCCGAGGGCTCACACCACTACAAAAATTGGGTTTCGATACTCGTGATGATCACAGCACAGATAGCTCATTGTTTAGCTTTGCGCTTAACAATAAATAAACATATAATCGATTTTCTGCCTTTCAGTGGTACTAGAGTAAGTCTGAATGTTTATAACGCTAAAAACCGAGTTTCGGTAAAGGCGGTGGGCACAGCACAGATAACCCATTCTGCATTTTTGCGCTTAATTACCAACAAACTTACTGCTGAGCCACTGGGAGTGAGGGTGGAACTGATCTTTGAACAGTAATATTGGTATTTAGATACATGATCCACACAGTATCAAGGTCAGCTAAGAAGGGGTAAAATGCATTAATATTTTATCTTCTCTAAATCGCATAGACTGTAAAGCTATAAAAACATTAACTTATGTTTCATATGATAACTCCTTCCTCAAACGGTTGCTTTGAACTTTGATCTCGACCTGGAGGTCATTATGATGTATTTAAATCTTTTAATGTCATTTTCATCGACATTTTTAATAGTTTTTTTTTTTTAATTCGCGCACTAGAGGGCTATCTGCGTTAGCCGTCCCTAATTTAGAAGTGATAAACCAGAGGGGATGGTAACTAATAAACACCACCCACCACCAGTCTTGGGCTACTATTTTACTACCGAAACGTTGGATGGATCCTCACATAATAACGCCCCCATGACTGAATGGGCGATCATATTCGGTGACGGGATTCTAACTCGATATCCACGGATTGCGAGTCGAGCCATGCTAGGTTTTCCATTAGTGAAAAATTTCTCTAAACGCGTACAATGTTATGAAATACCTTAACAATCCTAATCTTAACAAATATATCTATTTTAATCGCTTAAAGCAAATACTTTTACGTAACTACTGTTGGATCGTTATTAATGAAGAATTTCTTTACCAGAAGAAAAATGTTGTTATCCGCAGAAAAGTGACGTTTTTTTTTTTTTCATATAATCTTTTAGTTTCGGGCCATGTCTTTAGAGAATAGCATGTAATCGCCTGTAAGAAAACCGGTTTATTTAGTTAATAATCAGCTTCAGCAAAAGGTATGGTATTAGTTTGGTATATTAAACCTGAAGGGTATCTGAGGCGACACATAGGCTAAACGTTCAGGTTAGATTCCCCAAGGCTCAGACATAACCATACTTAATTTAGAAGTGCTGATAAAACGTTAATTGCAACTTTTATAATGCTAATGCGTCCAAGCTGAAACTGCGACGAATGTTCACCGTGATACTGTGGACTCGAGCCTTGAGCTTTCTGATCTGCAGCTTGAAAAGTTAACCAAAAGGCTATGCACTTCAGTGTGATGACGAACATTTACCAAGTTAAAATTCATCTGTAACTTATAACCGTATAAGGATTTAGCTAACGCAAAATGAAAGGAGAATTACAGATGGCAAAAGCGTTTCCACATTGACAGCTATTTTTGGTGTAATATTGACGTTTCAATAAGGATAATATTGAAATATATCCTAAGTTATTTGCAAATAAAAGGACTACAACGTTAAAATAGTTACACAATAAATAGTTATTAAAAACAGGGACTTGCCCTAAAATTGTTTCTACATATGTTTCAGTGTCCTATGACACCATCCTCCTGAAAATGGTGTCACAGGACACCGAAACGTATGTAGAGTCTTTTTTGGGGCAAGTCCCTGTTTTTAATAACTATTTATTCTGTAATGATTTTTACGTTGTATTCCTTTTAATTTTAAAATAGATGTTTTACACAAGTATCGTTTTAATTCATTTATATCCTATATTACTTTACTGGATCGTTATATCCTTTCCATAGAGGGAGAGACATATTGTATTTCTTATGTTTCGTTTTTATTTATTTTCAACAGTTACATTTGTGTGTGTCACTCCTTTACTTCTGAGCCGATAATCTTGGCCAAATACGCCTAGGAACTGTTTTAATTTTAATTTAATTTAAGTCCCCGTTCTAATGTTTAGGGATCAAAGGTCAAACACTAGAAAAAACATATACAATGCCCAGTAGTTTCTTTATATTTTCATCAGTCCAAATGAAATTTCTTACAATAATACATTGGGACAACCCCACAGATTGAGTCAGACAGATTTATGTCATTCTTTTTATTCTAAAGCGATCAAGAGTAAAATAAATCCAAAAGTTATTGTTTTTGGCCACCTGTTTCTTTATATTTCGACCAATCCAGATGAGACTTTGTACAAAGATACTTTACGACAACTAACACAGACAGGAGCAGACTTATGACACTAGTGCCTTTCTTACTTTTTTAAGAGGGTTCAAAGAAAATAAAATGGGCAAAGTTAGGGCTTTAGGGCTGTCATTTCTTTATATTTCTACTTACCTAGATGACACTTTGCAAAAAGTCACCTTGCGACAACCCCCAAAGTCTAAATTTGATATATCTGAAAATTGTGCAGTAAAGGGGTCAAACAAAAATCGCAATTTGTGTTATCGGTAACCCTGAAGGTAGCGATACATTGCCTGGACTTGTAAACGTCAAAAGGGGTTGTTATTATTTTTCTGTGATTCACACAATGCATGACATAACATATACAATGTTGAAAATTAGGCATTATATGGCCCCAAATTATCTGTATAGTTTTTATCTTATATATATTGCGAGGTGTGGTATCTGTCCGAGCGTTCGTTTGTCTTTCGTTTCAAAAGCTGCGCACGCAGGCAAAACTCAACATTCACTTTTGAAATGACGGGAAAACAGGCACGAATAATGTTGATGCCAAATTTTATTTCCCTAACAGGATATTCTACACTGAATTGTTGGGAATTAATCACACTATTATTCACATGTGGCGTTTGTTTGTTTGTAGTTAAGTACAAAGCTGCCAAATAGGCTATCTGAACTCTGCCCACCACGGGTATCGAAACCCGGTTTCTAGCGTTGTAAGTCCGCAGACATACCGCTGTGTCACTGGAGGCCACATGTGACGTAAGTTA